AAAAACTTGCAAGGACCATAGATTTCTTAATTGCACAATATAAACTAATTGCTAGCAAAGAAACACCATTTTTGGGACGCCTGGGTGGCTCAGTCAGTTAAGTGTCCGACTCTTGGTTTCGGCTCAGGTCATGATCTCATAGTTTGTGAGTTCGAGCCCTGTGTCAGGCTCTGTGCTGATGGTGTGGAACCTGCTTGGGATTCTCTCTCTCTCTTTCTCTCTGTCTCTCTCTCAATAAATAAATAAAATTTTTAAAAACTTAAGAAAAAGAAACACTATTTTCATTAATGCCTTTTAAATAATGATCAAGAAAATAGTCATTTAAATTACATAGAACTTGGGGCGCCTGGGTGGCTCAGTCGGTTAAGCGTCCGACTTCGGCTCAGGTCATGATCTCGCGGTTCGTGAGTTCAAGCCCCGCGTCGGGCTCTGTGCTGATGGCTCAGAGCCTGGAGCCTGTTTCGGATTCTGTGTCTCCCTCTCTCTCTGACCCTCCCCCGTTCATGCTCTGTCTCTCTCTGTCTCAAAAATAAATAAACGTTAAAAAAATTTTTTTTAAATAAATAAATAAATTATATAGAACTGAAAGGCAGTATAATAAAGTAGTTAATACCTTAGGCTCCAAGTTCGAGAGACATAGGAATAAATCCGACCTCTGCCTACACTTGATCATGAGTAAGTTACTTACCCTTAGTATGCTTCAGTTTAATCATGCATAAAATGGGAAATATGATAGTGCTAATCACAGAGTTTGATAGAAGAATTAATTGACACAAGATATTTAGCCCAGTGCCTAGAGTTTAGGAGACATTCAACAAATGTTATCTGCTCTGTCATTTTAGAAACCCAACTCATACTAACCTACAAATTAAAAAGAAGGCACTTTCTGGGGCGCCTGGGTGGCGCAGTCGGTTAAGCGTCCGACTTCAGCCAGGTCACGATCTCGCGGTCCGCGAGTTCGAGCCCCGCATCGGGCTCTGGGCTGATGGCTCAGAGCCTGGAGCCTGTTTCAGATTCTGTGTCTCCCTCTCTCTCTGCCCCTCCCCCGTTCATGCTCTGTCTCTCTCTGTCCCAAAAATAAATAAACGTTGAAAAAAAGAAAAAATTAAAAAAAAAAAAAAAAAAAGAAGGCACTTTTGACACAACTGAGAAGTCTAGCAGTTGGATGAACTTCAGGTATGGTTTGATCAGAGCACTATACTTGTTGCCCATGATTCTTCCAGCCTTGTTCGTGTGTTGGCTTTTTCTTCGGCTGGTTTCTTCCATCATGATAGCAGATAGCTGCAGCAGTTCCAGGGCTTAGATCCAGATATCAACCCATTCAGGAAGAAAGAAAACTTCTCATATCCACCAGCTATCAAAAAAAAAAAAAAAATTCCAGTTTTCACTCTGTTGGGTTAACTTAGGGACGGTGCCCACCCCCAATGCCATGCACTGAATGGCACAGGGAATGGGATTATAATTCAGGCATTCTCAATGGGAGTGACATGACCCCCAAGAGGCAAACATTGTTTCTTAAAGGTAGGAGGGTGGCACAAGAATCTTACTCTTTTTTTGTGTATAGAGCACGGATGTACATAGAATACCTAAACAGATATACAGGATTCTACTGGCATTAGAATTTGCAGGGGGAGGAGGTGACTAGCAAACAAAAAAGTATCTAAAAGGCTCCTTAAAAAGATGATCGTGAATAAAACTGTTGAGAAACACTAATTACACTGATTGGCTTAGACCAGTGGGAGAGCAGACCCATTTGTGAAGCTGGGAGTGAAGTTGGTCCCAGGCAGACCACACAGCTGCCAAACAGTGGGGGAGGGTCAATGCTCAGTTGAGCTGCAATCAGCAATGCCCCCTACACTTGAATTATTAGAACCTCAAATCTAGAGCTCTCTAATATAATAAAGATTAATGGCAAATATATTTCTAAGTATTTCGCCGCCGTAATTTGAGTTAAAGGGGTGGGGGCTCATCATTAGAATACCTTATTGCTATCCCATAATTACAAATTCTAAAGCATGAAGGGGAGTGTTCAGTGGTACTGTCCAGTTTAGTGGCAAATGGACTGGAAACACCACAGGGTTACATATTTTACTGAACTCAGTTTTTTATCATCTTGACGATAGAAAGGTGTCATCTTTCTTGCTTCTAGTCTGAATAGTCTGGTTTGTAAGGAAATCCGGGCTCAATCACGCCAGAGAGAAATAAGGGTGGTGCGGGAGATATCCATTACATGAAATACCTGACGGTTCCCTGGGGGTGTTTTGTTTATTTATATACTATACGTGAAATAAGATCTCCCACCTATTCATAAGGAATCTGGCAACAACGTTATTGCCTGCCTGGCACAGCCGGGAAGGCATCATTTCTTTGGAATTGAACACTTCCTCTACATCTAGATATTGGAGAGGCAGGAGACTTAATTTGCCAAAAGCTATGAATAATTAAGGCGCTAGCTATAAGGCATTTCTGTAGTAACGCGACTAAATAAAAAGCAGGCTGAAGCGGCACTGAGGCTGCCTTTTAACAAAGACTTACTTTATGCGTGAAGCTTTGAATTTGGTTAAAGTAGCAGACTGAGACATTCACCTTCCATTTGGGGCTAAACCTTAAAAGCTGATTCATCAGCCGTATATCTATCCTGCTGATATCTTGCCTGGATGGGTTCTGTTATAGCAATTAATTAGGGTTAACAAACAACTGAAGTAGAAAATGGTGGGAGAATGTGGTTGAAAAAAAGATCAACACCCTTTGCTTTTTATTAAGCATGACATGTTCTAACAAAGGCCTCAGCTTGTTTCTTGGGATTAAGCTGTCCCCTCATCCCCAACACCTCAAAGCTAGAATTTCTTGCAAACTCTGAATGGAGTCATTGCCTTCCAGCAGGAGGTAACTTAGACAGAATTTGAGATATTCAAGTGACCATAAGAGGCCGGGTCAGCTCCCCTGTGGCAGGCAGTTGGCACTGAGTGGGGAGCATACAGTTCAGAACAGCAGAGGCTATAGACTCAAAGTTTAGCAAATTTGACCTTGACCAAACCGCTTTCCCCCCTTGAGCCTCCTGGGTATAAGGGGAGAACTGTAGTACCTGCATTATGAACAGGATGAAAAATTCATGAGATAGTATCTGTAACACTAAATGCCCTTCCTGATATAAGCAAATGCTCAATAAATGTTAGCCCTTGGGTATGTACCGTACTTAACAGCAGACCCGTAGAAGGTACTTGATAAAGTAGCACCGGGTATTACTATTATTTTTTTTATAAGTGATACTAGTTCTCTGGAAAGTACATTCCCATCTTTACAGGCAAGGATGTTCACTGAAAGAGACTGTGGTTTCCCACAGCGTGTGTAGGGTGGGCCTTGGGTATTTTTTCTTGTCTTCACACAGTAGACCCACATTTTAAGCCATACAAAAACTCTAGGAAATACAGGCAGCTCCCATTAGGGTCGCTAAGGAAATAATCTCTCTTTGTCCAACACTTTGATGATCCTGATAACAAATGAACTTTGCATCCCACCGCATTGGCAGGAAAAGACCAACGCCCCCAAAAGGCAGGTTCCCCATTGAGCATTCAGTGGCCTGTGTGCTTCAAACCCTGTATATTTTGCTTGTCCCCACCCTTCACTCTCCACATTACTCTGAGTTACACAGACTAGAAGAGGGGCTGACAAACTGTGACTCACAAGAGAAAACTGTCCTGTCTCTCGTTTTTGCAAATAAAGTTTATTGCACACACAGCCTTCTGTTTTTGTAAATAAAGTTTTATTGGCACACAGCCCTGCTCACCCATTTGCTTGGTGTCTATGGCTGCTTTTGCATTACAGTGGCAGAGTTGAGTAGTTGTGACTTAACTACTTACAGTCAGGTAGTTCATACAAAGATGATATTGGCCACAAAGGTGAAAATACTTACTGTCAGCTCCTTTACAGAAAAAGTTCAACAGTTCCCACACTAGAAAAAAAAAGCAATGTATTGGGTACAGAATGCTAGAGGGGAAAAGGTCCAGACTTCAGTCATAGAAAAAATAGAACTTGAAGGAATATGAAAGAATTTTCTCATCAAAAACTTAGTCACCAGGAAAATAATAAATAAATATTCAGGATGAATGTTCAGTTTACCTTTACGAGGTCCTTTGTTGTAGAACACGATTGGAGTTACAGATTGACTCGTTTGTTTGTTCATTTATTTGTACCTAAAATAATGATCAGAGTGCTTACCCCATCCCTGCTACTGTCCCAAGGTGTCAGCCACACAAGGTCAAGATAGGCGTTTTTCCTGACGTCAAGAAATCTCTTGTCAAGGAGGAGAGACAGATAAGGAAATGAAACTCTGTGGGAGGCCCTTGGCCAAGGTGCTCTAGGCACACTAGTGGAGGGAATCTAAGTCAGACGGGAGAAAAGCAAAAAGGGAGAGGAAGAGAGCCAAGGAGGCTTCCTGGAGGAGGCAATTCTCAAGCCGAGGTTTGAGGGGAAAGTAGGAGTTGGATAGATGAAGAAACGCAGAAGGGCATTTCAGGCATAGGAAAACATGGCTTTGGTGGAATTATAAACAGTTTTTTAAGGCCGATGGGGAGAGAGGGCAGGAGCAGGGGAGAGAAAAAGAGCGAGTCGGAACCAGAGGCAGAGATTTTGATTGAGAGTAACATCTGAATTGGAATGATCTTTTACTTTAGGATTTTGATATTTTTCTGCAGAACTTCGGGGGCAGGGGAGAGGTTGATTGAGCAGTATCACTGGCAGCAGTGAGGCTGACAGATTTGGGAGAGGGTGACATAGTGGAGGCGGGAAAGGAAGGGGAGCTAGGGGGCTGCTGCAGTGACACAGGTGTATAGGTCAGGATAGGCTAGGTTTTGCCATGGCAACAAACGGCCCCAGTATCCTAATGGCTTAAAGAAGTAAAGGTTTGTTTGTGGTTCACACTACCGTCCAATCACAGGTTGTCCATTAGCTCTGCTCATCACTGTCACTTAGACTCACAGAATGTTCTTTCACGTTGCCAGTTACCATGATGGAGAGTGAAGAGCTCCTCGGGACTTGGCACTGGCAACTAAATGCTTGGCCTCTAAGTAGCTCCTGTGACTTCTTGCGGGTCCTTGGTCAGAGCTGATCAGTCACGCACTCAACTGCAGGGGCCAGGTAAGCAGTCCTACCCTGGAACAGCGTGAATGCTGATGCAGATTTGGTTCCTGAAACAAATTAACGAGCAGGAAGTTTACCAGAGAGCTCACTGGGATCAACACCTGTAGAAGGCAATAGAAAGAAGCAGGAGGAGCAGAGGAGAAACGGGGCTGTAATTCAGGCTCAGCAATGCCTTCAGCTGCCCTCCTGGGTAGCTCTGGAACTGAGAGTTGTCCCCATTTGGAACAAGAGGGCTGTTCTTCCCTCCCACCTACATCAACACGTTGTTGGCAGTAGACTGCCCTTGAGAACGCGGAGTGACCTTGACCTTGAGGTAGGCAGCTCTATAAGGGAGGGCAATCCCCAGAGGGAGCTGAGAGCTGTCAGCTTAGAATGTTCCTGGTAGCTGAGGGAATAGGTCTGGGCAGCACATCATGGGGTCTTCTGCAAATGCCTGCCCAACGGGTGCCGGGATCAAAGCCTGAACTGAGGAAGGACCCACAGGAAGGAAGTGGAAAGTAAGGATTGCGTTGATTTAAAGGATGTGGAATCTGGCTTCAGGACACAGTCTCACTCTCAGGGCAGCCTCCTGATTGGATCCTACACTGTTGAAGGGATTGGGCAGCCATGGAGTCAGTTAACAGCAGCAACACATACAGAAAGGAGAGAAAACCTGGCAGATAAATGAAATACGAGTCTCCTTATCGCTGAGCAAATTCATCTCCCACCTTTTCTGGTAACCAAAGACTAGGGTTTTAGGGCAAGGAACTGAGATGTGAAGATACCCCAAAACTGAGAAGGAAAGCGGTCTTAATGTTCTAGGCCATCACTTGACAGAAGTATACTTCTGAAAGACTGTGTTATTTACAATCGACGAAATCAGTCTCAGTATCTTTGAAAAGCATTTCGGAGCCTTTGTCGTCCAGCTTGAGAAACACCAAGTTAAAGACTCCCCTGCCTTTCAGAATGGTGTTTGTTTTTCCTCCTACCGTCCCTTCTCGGTGGAGTTGCAGCACAGAGTAACTTCCTGTTTATCCCCCTCTTCTGTTTATTTTGAACATTGGCTTTGTGATGTCTGATTTGGAGGCTATGGAAAAGTGTGAAGGTTTCGAATAGGAAATCAGACCTGTAGTTCTAAACTTTACAGCAAGATGATATGACTTCAAGCACAGAAAGGAGGCAGAAAATTAGACCCTCGTGAAAAAAATTAAAATTGCCATCTCTATGTAATTACACATATGTGTGCCTCTAGGTGTTCATATGTAACAGGTATAGATTCTGGCATCCTTGAAAATAAACTTGACTTGAAAGAGGCTGATGAATGCGATAAATAGTACCATTTTCCCCCTAATGTCCTAATCTTTTTTAGTCTCTTGAATTTTGTGTTTGGGCAAACCTTGTTGATTAAATAACTATTTTTCCCTAACTGGTGCTTTTATGTAGTGTCCCTGCCTTGACTAATAGCTACTAATTATGTAGCAGCCGCTGTGTGCTGAGTCTTCTGCTCGGCACTTTAATTGCGTTATCTTAAAACAAGACAAAACAAGACCAAAACCCCTGAGGGTTTTTTTTTTTTTTTCAATATACAAACATATAAAAGATAGTATGAGTAAAAAAGCCATGCACCCACCACTCGGTTTTAAGACATCTTAATATTTTGCCATGTTTGCTTCAGATACTTTTTAAAAATGTAACCAAACTATATAGAATCAGTTGAAACCATGGGGCGCCTGGGTGGCGCAGTCGGTTAAGCGTCCGACTTCAGCCAGGTCACGATCTCGCGGTCTGTGAGTTCGAGCCCCGCGTCGGGCTCTGGGCTGATGGCTCAGAGCCTGGAGCCTGTTTCCGATTCTGTGTCTCCCTCTCTCTCTCTGCCCCTCGCCCGTTCATGCTGTCTCTCTCTGTCCCAAAAATAAATAAATGTTGAAAAAAAAATTAAAAAAAAAAAAAAAAGAATCAGTTGAAACCACCCTCGTACTTTTCCTCTCTCCCTAAAATCCTACCGCGAAGTTCATGTGTCTCATTCCTGGGCATGTTTTGATAATTTTGACACCTATGTTTGTATCTATAAATAGATAACCTTTCTATGTTTGTCAAATTTATAGAAGGATATATCATTCTACTGCCTTATTATTCTCTCAACAAGCTTGTGGGATTTATCTCTAAATTCATTTTAATCCCTATATTCCATCGCATGAATATAACCAATCTTTTGTTGATGGACACTTAGGTTGCATACAATTTTTCACTGTCTCAAAAGACAATAGTGAAAAGTTCTGTATTTGTTTCCTTGGGCTTATGATCAAGAACTTCTCCAGTGTATGTACAGAAGATTTTTAGCTTTATGAGATGTTGTGTCTTATCTTTGTCCTTGTAACAACTCTACAAGATGATATCATGAACCCCACTTTATTGGTTTTATATACTTATTAACTAATAAGTCATGGTGCTGGAATTTGAATGGAGTTCTGTCTGATTCCAGTGCTCAGCCTCTTGCCACTGACTTGCTACTTTATTTATTAAGAGGTAAACAGCACATAAAGATAGAGTCTTATCAATTTATTAACTTAGTCTTTCACTCAAACAAACATGGGGTGGAAACATAGCCTCGTGCTTTAAAATGAAGTCCGTGCACTCAAACTGCCTGAATTCAAATTCCTAACTCACCTTTTTTAGCCATGTGAGTTCTGAGACTGATTTTTTGGGCTGTAAAATATAGATAATTAGAGTATCTCACTTAAAGCGTTTCTCTCCTGGGATCACGGTAGAAATTAAACATATTGGTATTGTCAGTAAATATTGTTAGATATATGTGGGGGTAGATGGTTGGTTGGATGGGTGCATGAGTGCCTGGTAAATAGTCATCTTTATAGGTTCAGTGTTTTCAGTTTCTTATTTATGTGAATAACCATTGGAACCCCTAAAGTCTGCAGAAGCCTTGGATCCTCCCTCCTCCTCTCCGCATTACGAAGCTATTAAACTTTCCTCTTCTCGACCCTGAGCCCTAGACTCTTACGCACGAAGGCTCTGGAACCCCACTGACCGCTGTCTTTCTCATCTGTGTAAGCTCTCCTTTGATATGACCCTGAGATTTGCAACTGCTAAGGAGACCCAGTTATTACAAGCATCATGCTACCCTTGGGTAATGTAGCCAGCAAATATTTTTACAGAAATGAGTTTGTCTCATTAAAATGTGATTAGATGCTTATTATCTGAGAGAGAAAAGGGCCTTGACAAAATAGGGAAACAGAATGAGCTGTAGTTAGCTGGACCCGGTAAAATCAAGGCTTCCTGACTTAGCAGCTGTGTGACCTTGAGCCAAGCTGCTTAATTGCTCTGAGCCTGTTTCTTTACCAATACAAAGATAAAACAATACTCACACTTACATGGTATGAAGGTTAAAAATAACATGGGTTGAAAAACTTGATCCTAAGCTTAATGTTATCATACTAGGAGTTATGAGTGCAAAGTCTGACCAGGATGTAACTCCAAACACTTTTCATTTAATAGCTGTGTGGCATGGGCAAATTATGGGACCTCTCTGTGCCTCATTTTCTCGTGTTTGAGATGAGGATGATAATAGGGTCTACCACCCGGGGTTGTTGAGGGGACAACACAAATAAATAAAGATTTCACTAGGGTGCCTGGTTCATGGTAAGCGTTTCAAAAGTGTTATGGTGGGGCGCCTGGGTGGCTCGGTTAAGCATCTGACTCTGGATCTCGGCTCAGGTTTGTGAGATCAAGCCCTCAGCTGGGCTCTGTGCTGAGAGTGCAGAGCCTGCTTGGGATTCTCTTTCTGCCTCTCCCTACTCGTGGGGTGGCGCTCTCTCTCTCTCTCTCTCTCTCCCCCCTCCTCAAAATAAATAAATAAACTTTAAAAAAAGTGTTAGCTATGGCTATTTCTATTTAGTGAACATTTTCAGTGTCAGACATAGTGCTAAGCCCTTTATAGTTACCATTTCATTTAAGTCTCCTAACAGCGACATGTAATAGGTATTACTGAACCCACCTGGCAAACGCGGGACCTGTTTAGAGCTGCTAAGTAACTTGCCCACGAGCAAAGATTGGAGCTCCGTTCTGTCTAAATACAAATCCCATTCACTCAGCCATCGTAGGGGATGGGCTTAGTTTGCAAACCATTCAGCCTCTTCCTTTGCCACCTTTGCCCGCCTGAAGTCCTAGGACTGCCATAGTCTCCATTCTCCTCTGCCAAACCCTAGCGGCATAGCAGGGATTAATGACCTGGTTGAGCCTCAGTCGTGAATGGTCTCAATCCAGGCTCCAGAAGCAACTCAGATCACACCATTCTCTTATGTGAATCCCTCCTGTGACGTCCCAACTCAGAAAAGCCTAGGCTCACCATGATCAGCCACAAGGCTCCACGTGATCGGCGCCCCTTTCTCTAGGTTCCTGTACCCCCGCTGTCAGCAAACACACTCAGCTTCTGGTGTTCACTCCTCACACTTGTCCCCTAACTCTTCTCCAGTGACACTGGCCTCCCTGCTGTGGCTTAAGCCCACCAAATGCGTTCCACCCTCAGAGCCTTTGCCCTTGGGTTTTTCTCTGCCTGGAACCTGGGGTTTTGTCTTTTCCTCCTTTCCACCCCAGACTAAGAGGCCACCCCTGACCTTTCTCTTGTCCTGCTTTATTTTTCTTCCTAACCCTATTGCCACCTAATGTTAGAACTTTATTTAGACGCTCACTGGTGTCTGCCCAGCCAGAACATTAGCTGAAGACGGGCAGGGACTTGGCTTTGTTGGCTGTAGTGTCCCCAATGCCTGGAACCTAATCTACCCTTCGGAGATACTCGTTGACTAAATGAACAAAGGAATCTGCTTCACACTTTAAGAAGCTCACTCTAGCCACTCTGCGGGGAGTGTCTAGGGACGGGTAAGACAATTACGAGGCTGTTTCTAATGTCCAGTGAGACCTGCTGGGGACCTGGGTAGGAGTGACGGCAGCCTGTGGTGTAGGGAGATACCAAGAATTCGGAGGAGGCAAAAAGTAGCATTAGGGGA